GCAAGTCCTGAGTGCTCCATTTCAGCCTCCTTGAGCCAACCTGGGGGATAACCCAGCTGACGCATGCGATAGATAAATGGAGGAAGACTCTTCTCAGTGACACCAAGTGCATCTTGAAGTTCGCCACTAAGTGAAGAACACAGAAAACAAAAAGTCCTCCAGTAAAATCTATGACTGAGTTTTGACAAAAGGAAATTATGAACATTTTGTTGAATTTTAATCAAGTTAAAATAACTTAAGTTTCAGCTCAAATTATGTTGCCTGTCAATACCAGATATAATAATTTTAGGCAAAAAAACAGCTCTGATGTTAAAGATAATTTTTAACACTTTCATTTCTCCATACAAGTGTATATAGCCTTAAACATTTTATGAGCATTAACTCTACAATGAGAACAACTGACTAGACTTGTTACTGGCCTTAACTGTAGCTATGGCAACAGGAATGGTGCAGCTTAATGCAACACTAAATTTACTGGTAATTTCTTTGGAGATGGCTACAGTCATATTATGTTTTTTTAAAACACTTTGAATAGAGAGAAGATGGGAAGGGACACTCAAAGCTCAACATTTTCAGAATCTTGAATGCATTTTTAGTTTGTTAGGAATATAATATATCTGCAATTTGAGTGGCCAAAGAGTAAAATTTGTATCCCTGTATTAGGGAAAGTGCCATGGGAAAGGACAGGACTACTTAGTTAGCAACGAGTTTTCATTCAACAAAATATATGTGAAATTCATTTAAAAAAAAATTATGTATCAAACAAATCTGAACATAACACATCTATAGTTAAGAGTAGCAGATGGAGTTAGAGAACTCCAGAAAGTAACATCTGGCACTCCAAAGGCAGAAAAGGTATTCCAGAAAAGCAGTGCAACAGCTAATGGAAGGAAAAATGGTACCTAATTACTCCTGGTTTAAATTTTCCAAACCTCTCTTCTACTTCTTCTGCGTGATAACGCTGCTGAAAATTCTGATTGCTCGTTTCCCCACAAGCTTCCAAAAACTCCTTTCTCTTCTCACTTATGCGAGCTGCATTTCGTGGCTTAAAGATAATACAATTGGGAAGTTTAGATGTGGACAATTTACAACAGATGCACTCCTTCACCCAACATAAAACTGGCACTCCTCGTTCTCAGCATGCTTAATCCTTCATCACACAGGCCATGTGATGGAACTGCAGTAATCATGAGAACTATATAACAAAAAATCAGCAGCATTGAATCTAGTGGAGCTCTACAACAGAAGGAGACACTGTTCAAACTGAAAAATGTCCCTCCATAAATTAAAGGAGAGATTCAAACCCTTATGCTAAGAAATGAATTTACATTCTGATTTATTGTGCTAAAATTTGTAAGGATGAACAGCATAAAATAATCCACAGAGATGAATAATTTGTACATCCTGATCCCAATGCACCTAATTATTTATTTTTTTTTTAAATGGTGCAGTTACACTGAAACATTTCTGGGAGAGCAGCAGTCTTGTGAACACTGATGTAGACTTTACCTTTGGGCAGTCCTTCATTTGATGGTCTTCAGAACCACAATTGAAACAATGCGGTTTTGGCCTGCTTAAAAAATGCACAAGAAATTAAGCCTGAAAAATCATTCTGCAATGTCAAATGCACTTAATTATTTTAATAATACAGATATAGGGCAGCAGTCCATTTAATATACCTGTAGAACATGAATACCTCTATGGCTCTTTTTCTGCTTGTATCATCAGGTCTGATCGTTTTTACACTACTGAGAATCAGTTACCAGTAGAAACAAGCAGGAGAGCTTGACTAGTTCTTTGGGAAATCCTGGCCCACAGTTTGAATGTTATTGTGAAATTGCTCTGAAAACCTGGACTGGAAGTGCAGCTCGCTTTAACTTGAATTGTCCTTGTAAATCCATGCCATTACAGAGGGGGACATCCCAACCTCTTACAAGATTTTAGAGAAAGATTTATTTTCTGAACATTGACTTTTACTGAATTAGGATAGAAATTAGAAGTGGAAACAAAAGGGTGACACAGGGATGAATGTTCAGGATACCCCTTCTCAAGCACACCCTCAAACCTCTTGAAGCCTCTAATGTGTGAAGTGAAGCGTGTTTTCTGCTCCATCTTTACACAGTACTCCAACAGAAACCCTCTGCAGCGATCCCAGCATTTTACCACCATCCCATATATGAGAACAATCCTTCAATCTGCTTCCCACAGCAGCTCTAATCAAACCAGAATTTGCACCTTTATCTTTGAAATTCCCATAAAAAGCTTGCCCAGTCTTCACTGTATCTGGAATCAGAGATTTTCAATGCTATGAAGACCACACAATCTGTCAGGCAGAAACTCAGTTTGCTTTACTTTACCATAAAAGCTATATAATCCACTCTTGAGATAATTTTTTTAGGCTTTTAAGACAAACTATGTCAGAGTTGCTCCACAAAACAGTAAGAATGATAGTACACCAGTGCAAGGTTAATTAAAACAATCACTAAAAGGCAAGCAACAGAGAAACTAAACATAAACTTCAGAGAGTTTTTACACATTGATTTTAGGCCCTTCCTAAATAAAATTAATAAACAAGAGAAATTCACTGACTGCAAAGCTCAGCACTGGTTTACTTAAAATATGTTCAAGGGTTTCATATAGTGGGGAATAATTACAGTGTACATGTGAACTTTTCAGCTCAAAACTTTATATTTAAGAATAATACAAACCTTTTCGGTTTTACTTGTATTTCTTGTCCATCTAGGGAGAGAATCTGGCTGAAAACTTGCGGATATCTTTAGATTTCAATAAGGAACTGCTACTGGATGAAGCAAAATTTCAATCTTGTTTAAAATATCAGTGAAAACCTAATATTGCTTTGAGTGGAACATTGACTCTTACTCTTTTGGATTGTTACAGATGAGTCCTTGGTATGAAGTCCATAGCATAAACTATTTGCTAAGAGGGGTTTATGGTGTTTCCTCCTACCCAGTTTCCATCCAATAATCAATTTTGTCATTGATCAGCACTTGCTAAAACCACAGTCCTCTGGCTTACAGGCAGACGTTTCAAGCTGATAATTCTGATCTGCTCTGCAGCAATCTTATTAATAACATGTTGATAGTTTCAAAAATACAACTCACTTCTCAAGCACATGGAGACAGGTCCTACCATACTACTTGTGTTTGGTTTTGGACTGCAATAGGCCAGTTGCTCAGCCCATTTGTCTAAAAACATACAAAAAGACAAAAGGGCTGCAAGTGAACCAACACAGCAAAGACTAAGAGGGTCAGCAGAGTTCAGAAGCTTCCAGAATCTAACAGTTGCTTTTAAAAAGAAAAGCAGACACCAGATGCTAGTCAGACTGATGTGTTAATTGAGTGCAGTACTTGTGTGATTTAGAAGCACAGTACCTGACACACCACCTCACTCAGCAGCAAGTGCTATTTTAGGCTTATGTCACCTGTGGGAGCTCTAAGAAAGATGCAGCAAATACATTTAAAGTGCAATAGCAAAGTTAAGCTGGCAGACATGAAAACTTAGTCACGCTTAACTTTGTATTTCAGGAAGAATTAATGTTAGGAACCTATTTCCTGCATCTGGAGGGGAGACAGTCCAGGTATCATTTGGAGAACCAGAGTGACTGAAAGCACTGTAAGAGGCAGCTTTCCAACTGTGAAATTACAGCACAGGCAGAGGCAGGCACAGGAAAACCCAGCTTAGCCACCTTATCAATTTGCAATTTTTGTTTAGATACATGTACTTTTTTTAACACTAGGAAATTATGTTTATTACAAGCTTGGTAAACAGAAATTGCAGAAATGAATTGTGAAACTGGTTCTTGCACTGACTCTTTCTGGGGCAGAAGTAATTCTGGTGAATGATGGAAGGGAGATTACTTGAGAAAAATGGAGAAATTTCTTGTCCCATTTCTTTTTCTCATGTAGGACTACAATATTAAAAATATAAAATAATTATTAAAAGCATTTTTCCCAACATTTCCCTCAATTCCACCTTTCATACACTGCCTCTTATAAACAGCAAAGAACCAACTTTAAAACGGATGCAAGTTAAGAGCATTCCGTACCTAAATTTCACTAGGACTTTCCCACTGGCTCCCACATATGGAAAAAAAAATACCTTAGAGCATCTTTGAGTTAGCCAAGCCCTTTTCTTCCCCTAAATTGCGTATTTTATAGAGGAAAAACACTTAGTCATATCTACAATGAGCTGTCACTCCAAACCTGATTACAGACTGGGCCAGGAAGTTTCTACAGTCCCAAGATGTATTGATGGGGATATGGCTTCATTCTTCCCAAGCATAAGCCTTCTAAAAACCAGGGAGCAAATAGTATCAAAATATTTGTATGTCTTGAGAAAAAAGGCACTAACTCACGGAAACTTTCCATCTGTAACAACTAACATGGTTTTGATAGAAATGCACAATCTACTGAACAAAATTTGAGCTCAGTTTACCAACTAGAATTCTTTGGATGTGACCTACAGAAAAAACACCCTTGTTTTAGTAAACAGGATACTTAGGTATTTCCCATCCTTCTGTCAGCTGTGGATTCTCATTTAATAAAGGCTGTCCCAGTTTATCAAGACAAAAATTGGTAAAATACAGAACACTTCCTACAACCTGTAGAAAAAAAGTCAGAGAATTGTCAGAAATGTGTCAGTACTTAGGTCAGGTTGGTAGCATTTCTATAACTTTACACTGCTTGAAATACTTGTAGGTTTGTTTTTTTTTCCCCCACTCTGTAGGAATTTACAAAAAATACACACCCACACCTGTACAAATCAGTACATTTCTTCCACTAATGTAGTGCAAACATGCTGAACTTAATATCTATTATGATACACTGATCAATTAAACAACTTATTTTAATGGCAGTGTATATGGAATATGTAGAATGAAGAAGCAGACCTACCATTGAAGAGTACATAGTCAAAAACTTACACTAAAAGCTTCTTTTATTTTTTTGACAGAATTTGAGCTTGCTGTTTTACAGTCCTCTTCTAAAAGAACACTGGAGGGCTGACATGAAAAATAAAAATGCAAAAAATTAATTTAAAACAGCAGTAAAAGCAAGAGCTCCTAAATAACTAATGCAAAAGGCAGAGAACATTGAATACTGCTTCTACTCTTTCATGAAATATTAGTTAGTAGGATGGAGACATCTACATCAGTCTGTGCTTTCCAAAAGCTTTTTCCACAGCCCAAAGTATGATACAGCTCATTCCCAATGTTTCCTTTGATGAAAAATATGCTGCATAAGAACATATTTATTCTTCTCCAAAGCTACAAGAAAGGTGGTGAGAAATGTGCCATTTCGCCCTTTTATTCAAAGTTTAAAAAATCAATGTTAAGGAAAACTCAAAATTCTGAAGTAGGAGAAGTGGGAACTTCCAGATTCTGTTGTTCATCTGTGCTCTTGTATATAAGTCAAAGTTAGGCCAATCACTATCAGGTTAGTGTGTTAAGTTTGTACCTCATGTCCTTTCTTGATTCTTTGCCCTATTTTTGGAACACAGTTACAGAAGATTTGTTTGATAGTTACTTGATTTGCAATTAAACAGCAAACACATCTACAATTCAGCTATTTCATAGTGTAGCATTTTAATATTCCCACCATAAACGTGGAAGAGAAGGAGCCCACTCATAACAATTGGAATTTTAAAAGTACCTGTGGCTTAATATTGAAGTGTGTTTTTTCTTGTTCATTTCTCTTCTGCTCCTCATATTTCTGAACTAAATTAAAAACAAAATCCTCAATTTCTTGGTGATATTGCCTGCAAAGAAGTGAAGTATACAAAGACATGAGCAAGACTGAAATATTTCATGTCAATATGTCGCATTTATCATTTACTATACAATCAACTGAGAGGAAGGGAAAGTTTAATTTACTGTATTTACCCACAAGGTTCATGAAACTCAAACTGATGTTTGGGCTCCCTCCAAGTTCCTGAAATCTCATTTCATTTAATGATAATAACTAATATTGCTTATGAAAGCAGCAGACCTGTCATATTGCTCATTATCCTTTCTCCCACTCAATTAACAAGCTTATGTTACTGAATAAAACATATATCCATCATTTGGACAAACACTAACATATTCAAATAAACAAACAAAAAGTCCCATTTCCTATCAGGATTGCTTTTTCTTGGAAAGTACTTACTTAGAAATGACATTGTTCATAAATAAAATCTGTAACAGAGGTCCATCACACTTGGAGTTCTCCACTGAAATTCCACTAGAAGCATAGAACAGACACACAGACAGTGGTTACTGCAAACACTCCCTGTTTTATCACAGCAAGGAGCCTGTAGTCTATGGAGAGAGGAACATTTGGACAATACAAGTTCTATCCTTTTAACAAGTTCATATCCACTTCAACAGAAACTCCTCTTTCAAGCAAAGCAGGTTGCCTGGTGTGAGGTGGAAAGAAAACAAAACACCACCACACTACAAAAATTTTCATCGAGCTGCACTAAAGTATGATAAAATTTTATCAATAAGATCTCTTATTTATTCAACCATTTTAAATTTCTTGTACCTACTGATGAACTTTACAGAAAACTTTCCCTAAAGGCCATGTAAGTTTCATAAACAGAGAGATACACACAAAGTTACAGCAATACAAACTAAGTAATTGATACTCAAGTCTAAACGACTTTTCAGGAAAGGTAAGTGCATTTTAGAAGTCAAAAGCCTGAGCAGATATGGGGACAAAAGAACAAGGTTTCTAAAATATGGGAGACCTTGCTAACTCAGGCAGCTATTATCTCTGACAAACCACTTCAAACATATACAAGTCAAACAAAGAGTTTTAAGTCAGCATTAACATACCTAGGACGAGTCAGAATATTCAGCTTCCTTTTAAGTTCTTGATGTTAATTTACTGTTAAGGAACATGACTTTTTTCAGAAGACATAAACACACAGCTTAATTAAAGGATCAAAACAAGTAAGACAACACCTCAAAAGAATTCAAGAGAATAAGGAATGGAGTTTCAAGACCTTCCTTTTCACTATTTACAAATCCACGTTGCTGATAAAACACAATGAAACACAAAAAAACCGAAACCCCAACCAACCAGATAAAAGCTGTGACAATCCAGTTTAATTCATTACATGCACACGGGTGAAGTGTCAGATTTACAGTATTTTATTTTTAAAATACCTACAATCACCACAAAAAAAATTCAACGGCAAGACACACGCACTTTTAAATATAAAATACGCTATAAAAAACATTTCAGATTCCACTCTGCTACAGTATCTAACCCAAAAACTTTAGGGAACGAGTCACAACTTAAGTTTGAAATTAAGTTTCTAGCTACGTTGAAAACTGATTTTCGAAGTGCAGGTACAGATTTTCCTTTCCCTAGAAAGCAGAGTCCAGTGTCAAGCGTTTTAACGGTCACCCCAGGACTCAAGTTCTCAACTGCCTCCTTGGCCAACTGAAACTAAGCTGGCAGGGAGCTGGGCATTCTGAGGACAAAAGTTTTCAGTGAAAACTTCCTGTTAAACGATGGAAGCAGAAGCCAGTAAAAAACGGCCCCCGCACGGAGGCGGGTGGCAGCGGCCCAAGGCGGGAGCGGCCGGGGAGGCCGCCCCCTCCCCAGCGAGCTCAGCTCTCAGCGCCCTTCAGGACGCGCCAGGGCCTCACCCCACAAAGGCACCGGGCCCGGCCTGATCCCCGGGAGGCGGGAAAGGCCGGAGCCCCTCACAGCCGGCGGCGGCC